AATCCAATTGTCTAACTAAAAAATTAAAATTAAAATATAAACAAAAAAAAATAAATCAATATTTATTCATACTTGTTGTAAATCAGAATTCGTCCATGGAATTATTTCATTATTATTAGAATTCTTAAAATAAACATATATCACCTTGAAAAGAATTTCTTATAAATAAATTCTTACTTTATACGTATTTAAACCATATTTTGAATCAATTAAATCTTGAATTGAACCAACTGATTGCCATGCATTATCAGTTAATGGTGCAACACATTTTTCTTGTTTATTATCATCATCTTTCGATGAATTATCCCATAAAGTTGTTCGATCGATTAGCACTGATAGAGACGTTTGTAATATTTCGTTTGATAAATTTCTTTGCATTATATTGATATTGATTCATACGAATAGAACCTAAACATATAGTGATCAATCAAATATGACACAATCTATTCATAAAAATATCATGCTTTAGAAAAAAAAAAAAAAAAAGAACAAATAAACAAATAAATAAAAACAATAACCAACGTGGCGAGTAACTTAGTACTTAATTGGATAATAAGTATTTTCGAATCGGTGTTTTTTATCGATAGATGTCATCAGATAAAAAATGAAATATGATTCGACTATTAATATCTAACATTTTAAGTGACGAAAAGATCAAACTTCACAAAAATAATAAAAAAAATGTTTGTTGTATTTGATGAGGCTTTACTTCGATTACCATCTTGTTTAGCTGTACATGCACAACTTCGTCCTAATTTAAATAAATTTACATCTGATGATTATGTTCAATATATTCAACAATTACCAGATATACATATATGTGGTATTATACGAAAAAATGAAACAGAAACAATAGTTTTAGCTTTAGCTATCTATAGAAATTATTTAACAACATATGATACACATCGTTTTGAAATTGATGATTTAATTGTTGATGAAAAAGAACGAAATCATGGTTTAGGTACAAATCTTATGAATTATTTAATTCAACAAGCAAAACAATGTCATGCAGTACAAATTCATATACATTGTGATTTAAATAATACAGATGCACATCGATTTTTTTTTCGTTTTGGTTTAATAATACCTATTTTTGAATTTTATTTAAAAAATAATCAATTATTAGAAAGTAATAATCAAATTCAAGTTATTGATATAACGAATCTATCCGAAAATGAATATGAACAATTCTTAATTCGAGTTCATAATATCTATTTACAACTTCGACCACATTTACCAATTGATCAAAAAACATATATTGATCAAATTCGAAATATACGTCATAATGGTTCAGTTCGAATAATAATTGCAATAAATAATAATGATAAAAATGAAGTACTTGGTTTAGCAGCTTATCGTGTAGTTTATAATATAAAATATGGTAAACATATCTATTGTGATGATTTAGTTACAAGTGAAAATCGTCGAAGTTTAGGTGTTGGTCGATGTTTAATTAATTATATGAAAAATGAAGGAAAAAAATTAGGCATTGATCAATTAACATTGGATAGTGGTTGTCAACGAGGACAAGCACATAAATTTTATTATCGAGAAGGTTTTATTATTAGTCAATTTGGATTTAAAATGTCATGTTAAATTGAATGATTTGAGCAATATCTTTTTTGTTTTGGAATTACATCTATTTATATATTTTTAATGAAAATTTGACGAGATTTTAAATATAGTAATTCTTAGTTGTGATCGAAATATGATCATTATCAAAATGATTGAAGTACGGTCGACTCAAATCGAAGAATATTAGGAACTTGGAAGTAGAAATTCAATAAGTAGATTTCTGCTTCGAAGTTTTGACTATAAACGGCGATTTTTCTGCGAGTTCTCGTCGAAAATCACGATGGCTTCACAAGGATTTTCATCAGACCCCGCATGTCGCCAGTCGCTATGACATTGTCAAAAAGCTCATTGTCCATTTCTTATGTCACTCGGAAAAACTATTAAAAACTAGAGTCCGTCGAATATAGATAAGTTATAATAGAAGGATATGAGTTCATTCTTGAGCTGCCTACTGGCAACCGATCAGTAGTTGATATTGATTCCATCTGTGGATAGAAACGCATAAACACACAAATTTGTTTATTTCATATATTCAAATCGAGCCTATCTAAAGTTATTATGTTCATTTATGAATGTGGGTGCCGATAGAAGTCTTGTATATGTCCAAAGCTACAGCTACAACCATACCTATAGGGAGCTGGAGGTCCTTCCGGATTCAAGTCTACAAAAACATGGCCTTACAGCTCCCTATTTACTTGATCTCATTTACATAAATACAACTGAAACTATTCCACACAATTGAACATTTGAATATTACTGTTGGTTTAACGATTTTCAGTGTTGAATATTGTTTATCAATTAATTGTTCAATGCTCGATTCAACTAAACAAAACCTTTTATTTTATCACGTATCGACCGATGAGAAAGTGAATAACAAGAAATAACTGTAGGATGACTTTTTTTCCTGACCGTAGCAAATAAATAGTTAAAAAACCTTGGTTATTCACTTATTCATTTTATATACACAAAGAGTGCCAGATTATTAATGGGAAAAAAACTCGAATTTGGATCTAGGTCCACAAAAATATGAACTCACAGCTTCCTGTACGTCTACATCCAAGATAATCATTGTTCAACAAAAAAAAAATCAATACTTTGGATTATTTATGCTTTTCAATAGTATTCTCCTGCCATCTATAATACCATTTATTATGCTCTCAGTAATATATTGGTATTATGCTAAGCAATAGAATTCCTTTTCTGTACTGTTGTATGTATAGTATTGTATTGTAGTTAAAATAGTGAGTGAACTATCCATTGAATTACTATTGTTAAAAATAAAACTTTTAATTTTTCTAATATATAAGAATTTCATCTCTTTCAACAAATAGATTTGATTTATCTATTTAATATTTAGATTAATTTAAAATGGATATTGCAATACTTCCGAGTAATTTCAATAAAAAATAAACAGGTTATAAAATTCGATTAAATTTTGAAAAAAAAACAAAAACAAAAATTTCATTCAACAAAAACTATACGAACATTTTTTTATTTATATATTAACAATATTCTTGGTGGTGAAAAAAAAAAATTTCAACAAAATTCATGTCAAGTATGGAAGAAAATCTAGTATGTTAGAAATATATTTTGAGAATTATAGTGATGATCTAAACAGGAATATTCATTGTGATATGAATTGAAAAAAACCAATAAAGAAAAGAGTCATATTCTAAACGGATAAAACCAAGCTTTATGTCTTTTTGGTTAAATAAAACTGATTCAAACACAAAAATGAGTAATAGAATAGTCATCAGTCTTTCATCATCATTGAGTATAATTCTACATCAATATATAAGAGTAAGATAAATATTATGTTGTTCATTCGTTATGTAAAATTACTAAAAGAATAGATAAGAAAAACAAATATAATAAATCATTCTTTTTTTTTCTATCGATTCAAAAGATTATTATAATACATTGTTTGATTTGTGTATATCTGATATTATTTATAGAAATTTCTCAAATAATGATCTACTGTAAAAGAACTAATATTTACATACTAATTGATAAATTGAAATTCTACAGTTTTTCTTTTCGAATAGATTATTACTGTATAATTAGTTTTCACTTGAGATTATCGCCATTCGATCAGTCACGATAAGTAGTAAATAAAGTCTGTTTAAGTTTGATTTTGTCTATAGATAGACTTTATAGTCAGTAGAAACATCTCAAAGTTTGAACTCGGATAAGCATATCTATATTGAAATATCATCTTGTCATAGAAATCAGAGATTGGACCGGTTCAGATTTTCCAAGACTTAAACTGGAATTGATTTGGGATATGGAGAACCGAGTCGATAGGATCTCTGCATGAAACACAACTCGAAACAGATGTTTCGTTAAAATGAAAATATGTTCGATTTCATCTCGAAATTCGATCATCCTGGCTCTCAGCGATCCTATGCTTAAATTATAAAAATCGAGTAAAATATATATAAAAACTGATGAGACAGTTGGGAATGTTTCGTCGTTAATGATATTAGTTCTGAATTAATATCTTATAACAAGTTCAACTTTTCGAATTCGTTTCTATAAATTTTATTTGTTTATTTATGGTAGATTGGCTATGTTCTTCGACTATGATGATCGAATAAAAATTTGAAAATTTTATTAAGTTATGGAATATCTATCGAGATAATTTTAACCGTTCAAAACTTCAACAGTTTATTGAACCAATAATTGTAAAATATCAAATGTTATAGCTTCAATTTTATTAACAATATTGTTGCATTCTTTTATAAATTTTCAAAAAACATTAACACAAGATTTACAAATGATGGTATCAATATTGACCTTTTTATTTTATTTATAAGAGATATTCTACAACGAAAATAATAAGTAAAATACTTATTAACATCTATCTTCAATTGAGGGTCTCTTCCACTAAAACAAAAAGTCAATATTCGTCAGAATTATCAAAATTAAGATAAATATATTGTAGGATAGCACGAGACCTGATCTTTTATAGGGATCTCCTTTTTTTTGCAGAAATTTGTTGATGATTTCTATCATCATCTACCTAAAAAATTAGGCTTTGTTACTATTATATAGAACAGTAAAAATTTCATACAGTTTGAATGTATTTGACTCAAGATCGATTTTTGAAAAGCTCATTGAAATTAACAGCATGTTTTTATCCGAGTTACCATTACGAAAAAAAAATCGAAAGATTTTGGGTATTAATGTATATGCCAGTCAAAAGAACTTTTCAGAGTCGAAAAAATTTGACCTCATAGGGTTCTAAATAGATTCACGTGTTCTGTGTAGGCAGAAATGTCATTTGGATTAATCAAAGCTGTTGTTGGTGAATCATACGAGTTTCGAGATTTCTTTTTTTGGTAAAAGACAATTAACGCTCTTCGAATAGAACGAGAATTTTCTCAATTATAAAAATTTTTATTACAAACATTTAATCCATTAGGAATATATGAGAACATATTATAAAGAACTTTTTTTTTTTGTGTAAAATGAATTGTAACTCTTGATTGTTTATTACATCATAGAAGATGACATTTTCTTTTGTTCACTATTAACTATAGTTGCAGTCAATATACGTGATCGACTTAAAGTATCCAATATGAAAATCGATCGATAGAAATTTTATTGTACAATATGTTATTAGTGAAAAAAAAAAGGTCAAGGTGTTAAATATGGTTATCAATTTTTACGAATGAAATGTTTTATTTATTTGAATAAAAAAATCTTTTTTTTTGTTTTTGTGCTATAGTTATTTTAATGTGTATTTTATCCATTTAAATATTTTAGATATAATTATGGCTGATATTCTCTTTGAAGATATATTTGGAGTTAAAGATATTGATTTTGGTGGTAAAAAATTTCTTCGAGGTGATTATAATATATATATAAATTTAGTTTTTATTCTTAAATTCTTTCGTTTTTTTTTAGTTTCACGTATTTTTTGTGAATCAGAATCATTTAAAATGGAATTACTTCTTGATGTTAATACACAAATTTATCCAATGGAACTCGGTTAGTTTGTTAAAATGTGTAATTTGTCGAGAATTATTTTTTTTTGTTTGTTTCTTAATTCTTTGCACAAATATAATGAAAAAAACGAAAGTATCAGTATCAAATAAAAGTGAATAATAGAAACGAAAGAAATGTATATAAGTAATGCCAATTTCTCTCGTTTTTTTTTCTGCTTACATACGTATTTATATAATCTGATAAGAACATAAGCGGTGAATAAGAAAAAGGTCTCGAAATTCGTATTGGACAAAATGGCGGATAGAAAAAAAAAACGAGGAAATTCAATAGGTAGAAGACGGAGAGAGAAAAAAATGTTGATCACAGCTGTTCGTCATTTTCAAATTATTCTCTCGTTTGGATTACTTTTTTTTCTGCTGTTACTACTACTTGCACAATTTAGGCACGTACGCAAGGCATACATTAAAGTAATGTAGACGGAAGAAGAGAAAAAAAAATGCGTTGATCTGCAACTTTAGAGTGTAATCCTTCGGTTCATAGTTCATTAATAATATTAGAGCGAGTAAAACTGCATGATTACATCATTCATTTATCAATCATAACAAGGAGAAGTAAATGTCCGAGAGAAAGAGAAAAATTTAATTCAAATAAAGCTTGTAAATCCTAGTTTATCACGCACATACAGCTGACTTGATTTCACTTAAAGCAATCAATAGAGCCCCTATCGTAATGATAATAAAAATGCATATATACACACACACACACACACACACATATACTAAGCTCTCTCACGATGATAATAAAATCGAGCGCTCTATATTGATGATATTGACTCTCATGAATTGTCGGAAGAGAAAAGGCATTACGCGAAGTGCCATAAAAAAAAATTGAGAAGGTACTTTTTCTCTCTCTCTCTCTCTCTCTCTCCTTCGCATTCTCTTTTATACCTTCCTAATTTTCGTTCTGTAGTTTGACGAAAAAAGAGAAACGAAAAAAAAAAGAATCTTAAGCATAAATGTTCGATTCTAACTGCATTTTTATATTTTTCAGGTGATAAATTTCGTTTAAAA